AAAAGAGCCTAAAAGCATTGTCTTGCCCTCACCCCAGCCTACCTGCAAAAGTTAACAGTCTCTTTGACAAAACGTTGCCTTGGATCATGGGGCTGAAGTCCCCTGGCAGGGAGAAGGAGCACCTTGGCCTGCGGTGACTGCTCAGCTCACTGACCTCTCATGGTGTGGGGACATCTCTCTTGGTGTTGGGTTCACTTATTTCTGGTCCTCTGTTTGCTGGTGGCCCTGCCCTCCTTGTTGGCCCCTGTGGATCAATTGCTCTTTTTCTGTGGTGACCATGGTGACCTTCTCTCCAGGCTCTGCTTGGTGGTGTGGCTCCCACCCCGTGTGTGTCTGTCTCTCTGTGTCCTGCCAGTGGTTTTACCCTATGGTAGGTTACGTCATGCTGTTCTACCACAGGGTAGAACCACGGACAGGATACCGAGGCACCCTCTGCATCGAAGGACTCCTCGTCTGCCCGGCCACGAGCAGCCAGGGACTGGCCCCCTTGGGATGTCCCCCTGCTGGTTTAGCTCAAGCCTGAAAGGACCCTGAATTCTGGCTTGAGGCTTGTACCTAGGCCACAAAGAGATGCCAAGGCATGGGTGTTGGTTCAGACAAATGCATGGAAGTGTGGGAAAGGGTATGGTGATGGGGTCTAGGGTGAGGGGAGGGCAAAGAGCAAGGGAAATGAGATACCTTTTGTATAGCTAATGGGAGTGAGGTTTGTAATCTAGAGGCAGCACGGATTACAGAGTTTTCATGCATCAGGACCTAGGAACATGTTACTGTGTATTCATTTCATGCTGCCTACTCAGGGTGGAAACGGGGTGGGGGGGGGAGCTGTTTCCTACAGCACCTTTGCAAGATTTAGAAAAGATGCTCTTTCTCAAGACACTTCCATGTTGGGAAATGGTCATGATATTTTGGTTTTATCAGAAAAAAACCAGGTTGACTGCTGTATGCAGGAAAATTGTAATAAACGTGCAAATCTATGATACTTTAACATAGTGCTCTTGTACAATGCACAGCCTACACAACTGTGCATGGTGGCCTCGGGGTACCAAAGGTTCCTTTGCCATCAGCCACACTGGATAACGGATGTAAAGTCCTGGAATGCATCACCTGGGAGCCCAGACACATGCACGAGGCTTTCCTGAGCACTGTCTACAAGTGCAGTTGTTGTCCTGGTTCACCCTTGCTCACTGACCTGCTGTTAATACAGGTTATACCAGGTGTTCATCCCAGTGGAGCTCGACTCCCAGGGACCCGTGTCTCCAAACTAGCCAAAACAGGACAGCAGAAGAGAGTCACATCTACAGTGCAGTTGTGCAGGAAGGGATCCATTACTCTTGTTTTTCTTTGTCTTCTCTCATAGGGAGTGGTTTTTCCTCCTGTCCCATGAGGTGCTCAACCCCATGTATTGTTTATTTGAATATGCCGGGAAGAACAATTACTGCCTGCAGATCAACCCTGCCTCCTCCATCAACCCTGACCACCTCACCTACTTCCGCTTTATTGGCCGATTCATCGCTATGGTAAGATGCACGGCTGTGAGATCTCTAGAGAGGGCGGCAGCCAAGGAGGCCGGATACACCGACAGCGACCTGCAGTGGATGCCCTGTCTCTGAGCCCCACGCTTCTCCTCACACAGCACCTAACAAGAAATGCAAAAAGCTGGAGAGAGTTCTGGAGATAGTTCAGAGCTCTCTCAGTGGCACGTCCAGGGGCTTTGAGAGAGTTTTCTTGTGTTGATTTGTGTAGGATCAGCAATGGCTGATGTACCCATAAAAAGAGCCTAAAAGCATTGTCTTGCCCTCACCCCAGCCTACCTGCAAAAGTTAACAGTCTCTTTGACAAAACGTT